ATCTTGAGGCAGGAGATGGACAAGCAGGCCCAACACACAGCAGCACAACCAGTTTCAATAAAACCCTTTCTTGGGGTAGTTGAGTACCACCTCAAGAAAAAAGCTTTTGCTGGGTGATCAGTTTTTAATACAGAGCAAACTTTTAACAAGCCACTCATAGACATTATTTTATTCATAAATAAGTTACTGTCTTATCAGACACCATATGGGGTTAATATCTTTTTCTGGAAGACAACTGTCAAAAGATTAGCTACAATACATCAAGTATCAACTGCTTAGTCATACAATGCCAAAAAACCAGGAGGATATAAATTTTCCAGTTTTGATAACAGAGATTAATTTATCCAATAATTTAGATTAGGATTTATTCAATAACATTTTTAGATGGAATACTTAAAGCAGCGTTATATTTCTGCTATTTAAATTAATTGGTTTCATGTGACCAAAAAAAATAAACCTCCCCAAAAAGAAATGCCAATTCTAGGCATTAGGTCAAAGATTTTTTTAGATTATTGGAAAGAAGTGAAAATTTAGCTCTGATGATTAAGGATAAAACAGCTATCTATATTCCTGGTGTCTAAAATGTCAATAGATTTCAGATTTAAAAGATGCTAAATAGAATTTCTTCCTCTGTATGTATAGCTACATATTAGGTAGCATCCTTTGGTAGGGGAATACTAAGTAAGACAGAAACCACAGTGTCTGAAGTGCACTATCTGAAGTGCAGATAGTTTGGAATAATTATTAACACTCTAAAGTTTGTGTACAAGGTGCAAAAAGTGACATTAGTTCTTTCACAGCTGGAATTTCACTCCCAAAAGGTTTCTAGAATTTTTCCTGCTTTGTTGCAATAATTTTAACAAGTTGGATCACTGGAGGTGCCTACTATGCCAAGGTGTACCTCTTGGCATCTGGCTAACATCTGCTGTCTATTCAGGAAGTTCAAGTAAAATTTTATATGAAGCCACTCTTTCTATTGTTTAAAATATTTAGTATTGATCCATTTCCCACACATGGCTGATTCTGAATTCAGAATGTGACAAAAAGCTTTCTCTGAGACGCGAGCCATAAATAAAACTATTCACATCAGGAATTTCAATGCAATTTAGTAAATAAAGAGTATTTAACAATCTCTTAAATAGTTATTCTACATCACAGTGAAACTGATTGTTCTCAACATTCAGTCCCATTATTACACCTGCATTTGTGAGTTTTACAAGTTTTCCTAGGATATGTGCAGCTGGAACATACTCAGGAGGTAAGCATGCACTCCTTAAGACCACAACAAATGCAATGAGAAGAAGAAACACGTCAGCTATGAGACAGATAAGGGGGTACTGCTGCTTCCCTAGCAAGACAATACAAGTATTTTGTGTTTGTAACCTGCTACTGTGTGCATATATGCCACCTGTTGGTGAGGGGGTACTGCTACAAGAAAGCCAGGCCAGCAAAAGATAATGAGGAACCAAAGAATCCTTGAAGGAGAAACTAAAGCAAATTCCGCAAACCAGTGGAAAAACTCCACCACAAATGGCAATATGCTCTTCACACAGCTGCAGCAATGAGTATGTCAAGCATCAAATAAAGCAGGATACCTGTCATGCATGACTAGGGCCTGCTGATGAATTTAGTAAATATTTAATCATAAAATTACAACATGGAAACATATCGTTATGGTATTATAAGCAAATAATAAAAACACAGAGCAGATAAAGCCTTTTAAAATCATTAACAAAACCAAATCTTCAAAGTGTTTTGCTATCTAAGTTTGTATCAGAGATGTCAAAATAATGTCAGAAAGAGGAAGGTGATTGACAGAATATGTCAGTCTCAGAAAGCTACTTCACACCGTACAGTCACATACTCAAGGTCGGGGAAGACTATAAGAGGGAGATGAGCAAAATTTCCTGTATCCATGCAACCATTATTATACCATTCACACGTACTACCCATTGCCACATTGTGATTAACAGACCAGCGCATTAAGGAGAAAGTTGCAATCAGGTTACATAAAGAGGACTGAATATCCCTGCTGATTACAAATGACTGCTGATTTTTTCAGTCAGGTCTGCACTTAGAAAATGCACTGTCTCGGAGGACGGATAAGCTCTCCTTGGAAGTAGGAGGGCCAAACTCAGTGCCAATTTCTTCCCATCTCATATGCAAGGAGATCAACACAGTCCTAGTTTAATTAAGAGTACACCATGATCCATCACCGCAAGGATCTACAATGTGATACTATAAACATTCTTCAAAACCAGATAAGCACAGACCTACATATATGTTTTTAACTCCCTACTAAGTCAAAAGGTGCCCACTACGTAATCCACAGCACCATGAAACAAACCACACCCCTGAAGGTAGGGAAACATCCATACACTGATGCTGGCTTTGAAATAAATGATTTCTGCTGGTCTACTACTGTAAAAAAGAAGACCTAATACAGAAACGTCACACAAAACACATTTCAAGCACTACAAGTCTCAAGTACTCTTGTGCACTCAAGATCCACATTCAACTGGATTTCCACTAAGCACCATCAAAGTTCCTAATAAACTGGCACTGCCTCGGTATATTAGATACTCTTAAGTAAGTAAACGAAGATTAATTTCAAGCAGATCACTTCAGAATTCTCTTTCACTGAAACCATTATGGTTCTGGTTTTGTGGAAATCCTTGATTATCAGCTTCACTTTTCAAGCTTGAACTCTGCTTTTGATGTATCTTCTGAAAAAGAACTTGTTCCCCTTTTTCCTCCCTCTTTGAATGTATTGTTTCTATCACTCTGAGCCCTCTTCTTCTTTGCTCCAGCAACACTCCAACACAACGAAAGACCACCTTGATCAACAAATCCTGTCTGTCTTCTGCAAGAGATAACAAGTCTGGCAGGGTTTCCAGGAAAGCTATTTAACCACAGACCATAAAATACATCTGCTCCCCGTACCCTTCAGTCCACTGCAAACTTAAAAGCCAGCAGTAAACTCCTGCAGCCATAGCTAAAATATCCCAGAGGAAAAAAGCGGGAGACAATAAAGACAGTCCCTGACGTCTTCGATTCCCTGCTATTGCAAGAACATAATTAGATTCAACTTTCAAATGTTCCTAGATAACAGACCTCGTCCATGTTACAGGAAACATCCTGTCTTTGCCATTCTTGTATGAGGGAAAATTCCCTCTTGTCTTCAAGTCTGGCCATGGCTTGAATACCAAGAGCATGAGCATGTCCATGACATTTTTAACCAAAAGGTTCTTTAACCCCTATTTATTTAACCCCTAAGAGTTAGGCCAGGCTTGGAAGTTTAACAGTTTTTGTTGTTCTCCACTGACACAACTGACTCCACCAAGCCTCATTCAAGCCAGAGAAGTTTGTAGAGTTTCTTCTAATTTCACATCAAGCAAACAGTTTTTAAAGAATTCTCACAACTCATTTTTATTTTTAAATTATCATACCAAACACTGAATATAAGATACTCCAAGCCAAATGAAAAAAGAATTCCACCAACTACTTAACAAAGCCACCCTTTAACATCAGTGCCCAATCAACTGGTACTTTAGAAGCTTCATAACTGAGTGATGATGTGAAACCCACTAACCAATGCATCTAATATCAAATATACATAATGCTTTCCAGTTACCATGTTAACCATATTATAGGAGAGACATCAACATTTTAGTGGAGGCCACATTATTTAATAAATGCCATGCTGTGCTTTGGTACATATCAAAAAGTAAAATTTCAAAAACTGAATTAAAAATGCAATGCACAGCTCTGTGGAACTGGCCAATTCCTAGACATTAGGCTGGCAAGTTATGTCCAAGGAATGTATTACAACTTTCATATTCTGTAAAGAAGTTTAAATATACAAGCTTGGGGGGGTGAGGAGCGGTTGTACTGAAAGTTTGTTATTTCAAAGAAAATTGTTCTCCAATTGCTCATCATTATACATCAATATAATGTTATAAACCATCATTTTTCATGGTATAATGATGATGATAATACATTTTAAATTCTTTGACTAAGCTACTTGAGTAATGACAAAAAGATCAGACCTTTCCAAACATAAAAATACGATGAATCAACATCTGTCATCTACAGAAATGGCATAAACATCACTTAATGTGATCACCTAAAACACATCCATCATTCATCTGTAAATCCATTTCATCATATCTAATCCAAAACTCTGCAAGTATTAACGGACAGCCACAGAAAAAAACAAAGTATTTTAGCAACAATCTGTCACATGACAAATATTAGTATTTACAGCTTGGTTGGAAATTAAACCCAGAATTTCTTCTGGATTGAAATTCAAACTTATCTTTCAATTTATGAAATTCAAAAAGAGTATATTCTTGTTGATTTAACTAACATGTATATAATACAAGGGAATCTTAAAAAGGGAAGCGGTATAAGTGACTGACTTACCTTATATTTATTACTTTCTGTTGATAAATCTTTTCTTCCAAGAGCAGTCCTTCCAGAAAACTACAATTTCAATTCCAACAAGAATGAGACAGCCTTTTCTGACACATTTACAAGGACACTAACATCATTTTGACAACAAATTGGTATTCTGAGCTGAATAACAAACTCTGTATGACAAAAACTTAACAAATTAATCTTGAAGGAAAGCAGCACTCTTGGAACTAGAAAATAAAACTAAATTTCTCTAATACTGGATAAATACTTGACGTGTTTAAGGAAAGAAAGATCATTAACATCACAACATTGCTATTTTAGAAAGACTACTCACAAAATGGTCATTAAAATAATTTTCTTAATAAAAAGCACTGAATCTATCAATATTTTAAAAAAAGATGGTCTTCATCTAAATACTCTTCTGTGGGTTTAAGTTCTCTAAAGGCAGACACCATCACCATTAAAAAAATATTTTCCCTATATTAATCCAACAAAAAAAAAAGACAGAAAACATGAAGGTCATATCTGTAGAACTTCAAGGGAATGTATACGCCTTGGAAACCACTTGAGTGAAAGGATACAAGTTTTGGTATAATGGGATTAATGACTTCAATGCACGGCTTGCATTTATAGCTGTTGCACGAACCATAATAGGCAGAATTTTTCCATTCACAATAGCACCATCAAAAAGTGGACCAAAAAATGGAACCTGAATAAAAATTTTAGAAGTTCAACATAAAGCAAGATCTTAGCTGTAACAATTAGCAATCAACATTAACAATAGAGCACTCAAATATATCTCTTTTTCCCTCCTCATTGTTAGATAATCAAAGCAGTCATTATGCTACGTCAGACCTTTTCCCTTGTGGAAATATACAGCCATATAACTGCTTGATATCCTTGGCAACAGATAACACAGTATTTGAAGAAAATTAAGCAACTATTTGAATACTATGTTTCATCAAAGATCATTTTCAACATTTGCTGCCAAAATCCTAGGAAGAGTCATGCATATGATGTTTATGAGGTTGAAAGGCTAGCTGACAATATTGTAGGTGGTAGTAAACAAAAGGAATAATTACTTGAATTTTAAAATAGTATGTATAATGTCTTTAGATATTAACATGTTCAACTCAATGTACAACTGTGACACAATTACTGGCCAATCGACCCTCACCTTCTATTTTCTTTTATTCTATCTGTTCTTCCTTTCTACATTATCTATACAAATGGACTGTAAGCCCCTTACAGCAGAAATCTGTGGTGAAAGTTTGGCCTCTCTGGACTGTAAGCGTAAAACCTTACTTGTGAGATCAGTAGAAAACTTCAATATTTAGTACAGGTAGCGCCCAAGAGGTATATAGAACAGATAGATCTTATGTTTTGGAATAATTCTCTATTTGGCATGATTTTTCTAATCAATCATCACTGTGCAATTAAAAAAAAACAACAAAATAAGGACTCAGTATTAACTATCTGCATTTCCAGTATACATTTGAATAAAGTTTGGAATCTGATGACATAAACCGAGTCAAGAGTAGCAAAGTTTGTGCATCGGCTTAGCAAAGGGAGCATACCATAAATATTCTTTCTGCTAAGATGAAACCAAAGCTGCAAAAGAATTTTAGATCCCTGTATTATTTTTGCCATCATTTAATGTAGTTCTCAGAATACTGAAATCTGATGGAAAGCACTTCTTTTTTCACATACTAGAACATCTTTTTGGACTAACAACAATCCCTGTTTTCAACAGTTCTCATTTCCCTTTTTAACATGCTTGCACCCAATAGTCCATCTATTTGCACTTAAAAGTAGTAAAAGAAAGAATATACTTACTAACTAAAATGTAAGTCAGTAATAACAAAAGTGAATATCACTTCATGCCTAGTCATTTCATGACTACCTAGAGGTAGTCACCATAATGAGGTGTTTCTCTCATATACCTCATTTATTAATATTAGTGCTTCTAGTAATACTTAAAGTATAGAAATTCATGGCAAGTGACATCATACACAGAAGTTAGGTAGTACAAGAACTCATTACTATTTTTATTCAGTGTTCACTGCCCTAAACCACTGTTTTAAGAACAAGGCCAGCACTGACATTAGAGGAACAGTCATTAGAAAGAATGTGTGTTTAGTGTTCATATGCGTAAGGGTTGAATGGTCTTGCTTTACTCAATTATCTCCAAATTCTTGTGCAGAGTCAAGAAGAAAGTGATAACTAGCTTTAAGAGGAAGAAAGAGGAGTATGACATGGATGGAGGAAGTTGGAGAAGACCATTATTTAATTACCTCAGTTATGTATCAAATTTGATAAAAAGGTATGGAAAGTTTATTTTAATATTTAAATTATTATGCAGAATATTCTATCTTTTTTTCCAGATTATGTTGTTAGCAGATATGCTTTACAGGATCAGACCTTTGCAATTTCAAGTTACTGATTTTACTATGCATAGTACTCACTGAGCTCTTCCTTTTCTTCCTACCACCACTGCAAACTGTCAGTACTCAAGACATTGCTTTGTTGGATCAGTCTATTATACCAAGACCTCAGAATGTAAACAAAACTCAGGTCATGTTAAACATATGAAGGAAACACAAAAGAAAACAAACCCTTACCTCAGGTTTTTTCATGATCTGGATACTGAACATATGGTTTTTCATGGGATAGATAACTATAAGAACATCACCAAATTCTGTCGGAATTATTCCTCTTCTATAATCTCGAGTGTGCTCTGACCAGACAATGTGTACTTCATCATTTCCTAAATGTCTTAGCTAGAAAATCAGAGATAAAAACCTATCAGTTTAAATATCCTTAATTAATAATCTATACCCATACAGCTATATAAAACATACATATTTCAAAAGGACAAACTCACTAAAAACAAATGAAGAAAAATGAGCAAGACCCTCCAAATTACGCCATTGTTCTTTTACAGTTTCAGTGTGAATATTAGTTGACAGTATTGGTTTGTGCTACAGATTTTTATATAGTGGTGTCAATTTCTATTTAAATTAACAGATATGTGAATGTTTTCTACTGAAAGCTAAAATTATCTCAAGGATGCAAAGTGATTCAACTTGATTTATGAAAATGTGTTCCAGACTGTCATCACTGATAGGCAGCAAATTACTAAATTCTATATGAACTTTTTAAGCATATGAATGAACGTCTTTTTAAAAGCTAGGTATCTGAGCACTTAAACTCAGAATTCTAGCCAAATTCCAAACTGCCTACCACAAACAAAAATCGCTTAAAGGAGAATAGCTACTGCATTTTCCACTGCCCCCAGATTAACTAAACTAAATGCTCATTTCCCATGAAACCAGTATAACTTTGTAAAAACAGCACCCCACCCCCCAAAAAATCTAACAAAGGAGCTTATGATCTGGCTCAGAATGGCCAAATGGGTTCCTCAAAATCCATGGGGTATCCTCAGATGTAATCATATAACCAGATGAAGGAATTTCTTGAACATTCTGGAATTATCTGCACTGATAATGCTCCTTCTGCTAAATATTACCATCTGACAACAACTGTTCGCATTATGCAGAGAGACTTTACGTATATCGATCAAATATATTCAGACTATTAAACATCAGATTCTTTCCAGTAAGCATCATTTCTGAAAATTCAATCTGGAATCTCCTTTTGTCTCCTAGTGCGTCACCAGTTACAGTTGACAATTGTCTTCAGCCCCAGTTTTCAGTTTGTTTCCACAGCTTTAGGTAGGAGGAGTTTGTCAATCACCTTGATGTTATTCAAAGGACCACACTGTGAACTGCTGTTAACAGGTAACATACAGATAGCAGTCTGGGCACATACAAAAAGCTATTGTATATAAAAAGGCAACAATTTGCCATACTCATTTTCAGAACACAATTGAACTTTAAATAAAAGCAAAACATATACACATTCTTCAGAGAAATTTCACTGCAAGTATTCACTTGTCTATTTTACAAACCCTCCTGGAATGCTACCTTCCTCTTATCTGAAGGCTTGTACCAGTTGAAAGTAGCAGACTTTAAAAAAGAAAAAAAAAAAAAAGAAGAAGTTGTCTCTTCTCACCTCTTCTAGCTTTAAATTCTATCAGACTGAAAAAAAGGGTTGTATTTCCATGAGAAAAAGATTTTCTTCGGTGTTGAACTGGGCAAAGGACAGATGGTATCAATACCCTCCTTCTTTGATGCTCAACAAGTCATTTGTTTTGCCTGGACCAGATCGTACACATGTCTAATCTACAATGGCTGCAGTGCCTTTGAAGTGAGTTGCTCTTCCCTCTTGTGTAGATGGCTAAATTATTTTGAATAACACTTAGTTAGGGGTGCTCTTGTGCCAACAGTAAAACCAACCCAACAAAAGAACTGGCTATAACAACATTCACTACACTGAGCTTTATTTTACTAGATTAGAATACAACCAGGCAGAAACCTGAATGACTGATGTGCAACACACAAACAGCAGCTGCAGAAACCTTGGATAACATGGAACAATGATGAACATCGTAAGAGACAACTAATTGCAGAGTTGCTCTGAGAGCCTGAACCTCTCTTATCTTAAGAATCACAGAATCATTTAGGTTGGAAAAGACCTCCAAGATCATCAAGTCCAACTATGAACCTAACACTGCCATGTCCACCACTAAACCATGTCTCTAAACACCACATCTACAATGTCTTTTAAACACCTTCAGGGATGGTGACTTCACCACTTCCCTGGGCAGCTTGTTTCAGTGCTTGACAATCCTTTCTGTGAAGAAATTTTTCCTAATATCCGATCTAAACCTCCTCTAGCCTAACTTGAAGGCATTTCCTTTAGTTCTGAGTCTTGTTCCTTGGGAAAAGAGACTGACCTCCACATCCTACAACCTCCTTCTGGTTACTTGTAGAGAGCAATGAAGTCAGTAAGAGTGATAAGAGTGATATGAAGCACACTTAGCTGTTTTTCCCTGGTGATAGCTTGGAGCACTTCCATACTTTCTAAGATAAACTTCAAAATACATTACCAAAAAAAACAACAACCTCAACTCCCAAAATTACCAGAAAAGCAACTTCTCCTTCTAACCCTTCTGTTTTATAGCAAAACATTAATTAAAGAAACCTTGCACTTTGGCATCAGAACAGAATTTTCCATTGATTTTCATCATGGCAGAATTCCATTTTTTCAGTTTACACAAGGTTCGGCTTCACTTCATTCTCCTCTAGAATCACTGTATAATAAACTGTTATCCTTGGCCTCCTCTCTTTGCCACAGTTAATCATCTCCTCTTCTCCAGGCATACATGAGATCATTTTCAAAATGTATCAAAGACATGATCCAAGCGGGGAAAATAAACCCCAGGTATTTGTTTTAAACTCAGCTCATGTAACTGTACTGGTCTCAAACACAGCCCAAGAAAACAATTTTTTGACACCTTTTTTTGTAGCGTGAAAGGAGCAAAAAGTAGCATTGTCACCTTCTTAAATGGCCTTATAACCAGAAAAGTCAGTGAGAAATTGCACCTCAGATTAAAAAAAAAAAAAAAATTAAAATTTCTCATTTTACTTCTTCAGTGAAGTGACAGCCAAACTAGCTGTTGAAATACGACAATGACAGGCTATCAGGGACTGATGGGCTCATACTTGGAAGCCAGTGAAAAGCTCAGAGAGGATGATGCTGCCTAGCCTAACAGAAAGCATGAGGCAAATCAGTTGGGACATGAAATGCTGTGGAATGTATAAAAACTACACAATCCTAGGTTGAGGGATGGCCATCTGAAGCATCGACTGAACTCACTGAACTGACTGCCAAAAAGCAATACACTCATCACTGCACCACACCATTCCTAACTCAGCAATACCGAACTATTTACTAGAAGAATTATTTCTTCCTTTACTTAACATCTTCAGTCTCGGAGACAGAAAACTCACAGACTATCAGAAACAAGTGATGGTGACAGTGTACATGCCAAAGAAATAATCAAAATCGTAGAGAGTTTAGATAGTGAAGCTTCTTGAGGGCATCACTGCCTCTGAATTTAATTTCTCAAACGTTACCACCGTGTACCTGTTACTGACACCTGCAGCTAATCAGACAGGACACCAGTTCTTGCACTTCTGTGCAAGCTACCCAGACAGAGCATCACTACTGATGCATGCTTTCACATTAGATTAATACAGATTTTGGTGTGATAGAAGTGTACTGTGTGGCTATTTCAGAAGGATTATTGACAAGGGACACATATTTTTGGATATTTGGTACCAAAGCCATTAGTGACTTTTCTCTCCTATTTCAAAGTTTGCTTTATACTCCCATAGATGTATGAGAATACATTTCCAGGAAAAAAGAAAAAACTCCTTCAGAGAAAAAGGAAAATGAATCAGATTATTTCAAAGAGTTCCAAGTCCTATCAGATGTATTTCACCTCATGATTACTACTGAGAATGATGTGTAGATTGGCATGACTAAAATGTGACATGTAATGGATTGAGAGTCAAAATCAGATGGTGCGAGTAGGTGGATGATGGTATAAACTATGAATGGCAGTTTATAACAAAATATAAAGTACTCAGGACCAAAACAAAGATGAAAACCTGGATTCCCTTATGGATGGTCAGACGACTGACAAAAATAATAGAGAAGTAAACAAGGTTGGGGGTTGCTGATTTTATGTTTGAATAACTAAATTCTGGATAAATCATTCTGTTTCCTTCTTCAAGATTAGATCATAAGAAGCTTTGACACTAACACAGTGTTCCTTGTTGCCTCTGTCAGATGTCTTCAGCTTGGTCAGCAAGCAATGGTTATGAGAAAGCTTGAATCGGGGTTACTTGACTCCTCAACACCACTTGATTCATGGAAGAGATCTGATATATGAAATTAACTTGAAAAGCTTTCTAAGGTCCACTAGGCTTTGCATAAACTTTTTAGAAAGAAGAACTTCAGATTTTCTTCTCAGTTGTCCCTTTTGAAGGATCTTGTAATTGAGTAGTGCTCCACAACCAAGCTCTCCTGCAAGCACAATAAACATTTGTAGAATCCATCATTCACTGTGATTATTACACCACAGGAAAGCCAGAACCAGACCTCTTTCAACTTTAACCTGGACTCTTTATATCTTTGTACTGAATTGGAAACATCCCAGAATTCAGTGTCCTGGACAAAGCAGGACAAAGATGCTGAACTATAACCACCTCTTCTCACTGAAACCCTGAAGACAGACAGAAACATGGTTTCCCAAGGTGTGGTCCCAGTGTTATCTAACAGAATGGCATTTGGTGCACACAGAATGGACAGATGTCAAGACTGCATTGTGTGTTAATGCTTACTCAAAACTCACTACCAGTTGTGTGAACCACTACATCTTCACATTCATTTCCTGACCTTGTGTTCCTGAATTTACAACTTCTTATGTGCATACCTCACAGTAAGCATAACAAAGTGCAAATCAGTACCAGACATAAGGCACAGCAATAATATAAATAATAAAATGCCCTAAAATAGTGTTACACTTCAAGTAACTAATAATACAGTATGGTTGAAACACCTGGAACTATAGGTTACACACCAGTATTCTAACACTCTAAACACAGATCAAACTGCCCTGAAGAGTTTATTATCTGACAAATGCAAAGAAGCTGTAAAAAGGTGCTAAAGACAAGAAAAAGGTCTTCACCATTATTCAAGAATGAAAGTGTCAAGGCCAGGGAAAGGAAGGTTCAGAGATCAAAACAACACTTTCTGACAGTGGATAAATTTTATCTGAGTGAATGAAAAGGCTATGTTGCAAGAAATG